TGCCAGCCTGCCCCTTAATTCTCACCCAGAGGATTAAGAATTAAGAATTCTCACCCAGAATAACCTTCACTATAAAATAAAATTCCTTATATTAAAATGGAATTGCCTGTGCCTCAGTTTGTACCAAATGGCTCTCCTTTCAGTGGGCACCCTAAGAAGAGTTTGGCTCAGTTTTCTTTACTCTCCTCTACCAGGTATTTATACACATGGATAAGTTTGCTCTGGAGCTTTCTCCTCTCCAGGCTGAACAGTGCCAGCTCTCTCAGCCTCTCCACGGAGCTCAGATGCTGCAATCCCTTGGTCACCTTTGTGGCCTCTCACTGGGCTTGCACCAATGTGTCCCTGTTTCTGGCAGGGGAAACCTGGGAACCCAGAAGTGAAGGCAGCACTCCAGGGGTGACTCGCCAGTGCTGAGTGCAGGGGAAGGATCACCTCCCTTGACCTGCCAGCAATGCCTTTCCCAGTGCAGCCCACAAGGTTGTTGGCCCAAGGGCACATTGCTGGCTGATGTTCAGCTTTTTGTCCACCAGGACCCCAGGTGTTCTCTGCCAAGCTGCTTTCCATCTGGCCACCTTGCCCCTTCCCTGTCTAGTGTGTACTGGTGCCTGGGGTTACTCCTCCCCAGGTGCAGGCCTCTGCAGAAGGGAATGCTGAACTTCATGATGTTCCTGTCTGCTCATTTCTCCACCTGCTGAGGTCCTTCAGAATGGCAGCACGCCCACTTGATTTAACAGTTCCTCCTTCCAGACTTATGTCATCTTAATCTTGATGAGGGCGCACTCTTCCATCATTCAGGACAAAGCATAGAGCACCCAATATTCCCAAGCAGAATTCCCTACTCTGCCATCCACTTACGATAGGGGTCTATCCCTTTGTTGCTTCCAAGATTAGACAAGATCAAATGTGTCCAGTGCTTCAGCCACAGCCATTACACCTCTAGACAGAATAATCCAGTGTTACTCCGATAACAGTAGGTGAATTTAATGGCAAATTAGTGCAGTGAAATATATGATTTCAGTGTAATTGTAAAAAAATTTAGAAGCTAAGTGGTGGCAAGAGGAAGAAGACAGTAGAATTTGCAGTTTGTGAGATCTCAGTGTGTCAAGAACACATTGCATTTTCACTAGAAAGCACTTTCATGGATTTCTTAAATAACATTGAACTCTGAACAATACTTTCCTTGAGAGATACAGTACTGAAAAAACTGAAAGATACTCTGCACTTCCTGGCTAAGAAATACAAATAATACATTTGAAAAAACACAGCATCAAGGACATACTAAAGGTACTATGCCAAACTAAAAGCTGCACTGCTCAATAAATACCTATTTTTCTTACCCAGAGCACTGGCCTGTGAATCAGCAAAACTCTGTTTTTAATTTACACTATAGTTTCCCAGAACTTAATTGAGCACTTGATTCCCTAGATATAACTGAAAAGCAATGAAGTCAAAGCTGACATGATTTAGAACACAAACCTCAGAATTAAATCCAGTTAACACAATAGTATACTGATGTGAGCTGTACTAAGTTTAAGCTGTATAAGATTCCTAAAGGCAAAAAACATGCTTACAATTCTTACCAAAAAGGTTACTTTAAAATACACATGTATTTGCATATACGTAGACCAGTTTAAAAAATGGTTTGAATAAGTAATCAAAGTCATCCTTGTCTTTAATCAGTTTAGCCTGATGAACAGTGTAGCATCAAAAAATATAATTCATTATGTACTAAAAATATTCTTTTAATTCAACTTTTATAAGACAATTTGATTCACACACTAGACACAATGAATAATGAAGTAATTCAGTAATTAAAGGTAACATATAGCATTTTTATTCAGAACGGATGCTGCAAAATGCATATCCCTCCCCCTTTCAGTTTAGCCATCTTTCATGCAGTATGTTAAAAAAAAATACTTTCTGCACTAACTTCTCTTTAAGTATCCTCTTGAAAACAGTTTTAGAAACAAGAATAAATTGAACTGTATAGATGCCTTACATAAATAAAAGTATGGAATAACCATGGAATTAACTCCATATACCACTACAGGATGCGGCTGACTGGCTAGAAAGCAGCTTTGCATAATACGATCCAGTGGTCCTTTTCTGTGGCAATATGGAAGAGCCAGCAGTGCATCCCTGTGGGAAAGGTGGCCAATTGCCAGCTGAGCTGTACTAGCAACAGTAGCCAGAAGCAAAGGGAAACAAGTCTTCCCCTGTAGTTAGCACTTGTGAGACTGCTGCTGGAACACTGTCCTGTTTAGGACTCCCCAGAGCAAGAAAGAGTGGAGGAGGACCACCAACATGGTCAGGGGCTGGAGAACATAATCCAAGGAAAGGTTGAGAGCTGCAAGCATTTTATTCAACCTGAAGACAACAAGACTAAGGAAGGAGCTCGTTGCTGTCTGCAGCTACCTAATGGGAGGCTACAGTGAAGTGGAGCCAGACTCTTCTGCACAGTGACAGGATTAGTGTCAATGGGCACAAACAGGAGGCAGGACCCATGATTGTTCTGGGTCCCCTCTAACCCATATTATCCTCTGATTCTCTGTATAAAAAAAGCATAGAAGATCTGCACAGACTATAAAACTCTGGAATATTTCTTCATTTGAACAAACTTCAACAACTTAATAAAACTTAGATTACAAATGTATCTAAACTACCTTCTTCCTGAACAGTTAAAGGAATTCAACCTTTTTTTCTTAATTTCACCCAAAGAGATAACAAACATATGTCAGGAACCTTTGTGATAACAAAGGAAGAGACTAACTCTGAATTATGCCTGGTTAAGATTTTTATAGTCAGGAGGAAAAAAAAAAATGAACGCAAACTTAAACACTTCAGTTTTTTGACATAAGACTTCTTCGGTGACAAAACACAAGTTCCAGAATTAAACAAAACCAAATTAATCTACTAGCTCTTTCTGATCATTAATCTACCACAGCAGCTTCCACTTATAAGTAAAAGGACTAAGGTTTTGGGGTTTTTTTTGTCTTGGTAAGAGTAATGCTAGGTATACTAGTATTTCTCTTGCAATCACAGGAAAGAAACAAGCTATTGCATTCCTGTAAAATATTACATCCATGAAATGGCAGCTATTTAAAGGGGAAAGGTCAAAGGGAAATATATTCAAAGGCTCCCTGCATGTTAACCTGTGCACTAAAAGTAGGTGATAATCAGTTAGAAATAAAGGCCCAGTAATCCACCAGTCATCTACTTTTTGACACTTCAGCACTACAATTTGTACCCAAGTGCATCTCAAAATGAAGAAGTATTTTTCAAGGCATGCATGCATGGCAACCATTACAAAAGGCAAGGAATCCCACATAAGGGTTCACTCATGTAGAATGCTGGTCAAATCTCTTTCTGACAGTGATCGCTGTGCAATAACTGGGGAAACAATGAATGCAGTGATGTAAATCAACTTACAACAAAATATAACAACATATTATTTTCCAAGTAGTAAGACAAGCTCATTTTATTCTGAAGTACATACCTGAATTGCTGAATTCATGAAACATGTATTCCCCAAGTTACTCAGGCCACACAGGCCTGGCTGCTCATTGTGTCTTCCTGGCTCTGAATACTCGTAACTCTTATAAGCAGTATATGATGGTAGACAATAGTTTGAATTTTTCACACTGTAAAAAAACAAAACACCTTTTACAATGTAAACATGTACACTGCAGTACTTTAATACATAAAAGTGCTTTATAAATGCAAATGATTAAAAATGTTAAAGCAACTTCTGTGAACAAGAAAGGATTTTAAAGAAGTATTTAATTTTGGTAATGACATTAATTTCCATTTAAAAGTCACCTGTGCAAACAACAAAAAAATCTAACATACTGCAATAACTAATTATTATATCCCTACCCCTTTTTGATAGGAGCAGCTTCACAGCTTACTCCATTCTTCATTGCTCCATCAAATTTAATACACTCAGACTTTAGACACCACCAGCAGCAATCAATCATTTACGTCCCTTTTGCATCCTGCTACTGCAAGCGAGTGAGGTCGCTGGGAATGGGAATGCAGAGTTACAGGTGAAAACTGAGATATCCAAGGCCACTGTGGCATAGCTGCCTCACTGCATCAGAGACTCTATTTATAGCTCCCCTGCTAGGACAGCACAATCCAGCAAGCAAATGCAGAAAAGCCTTGAGAGGTAAAAGAATGCGCAAAATGCCTCATAACAGCTCCATTCTAAATCTCTCTGATGCATCTGTTTGGAGAAACTGGAGGAGACTGAAATACGTAAAATGGTAAGATTTAAATCAATTTGTTTCCAGATGAAGCCAAGCAAATACTAAATATAGAATAAACCTCAAAATAATAAATAAGCATAGTCGAGAACACTAGAAAGGCAAAAGAATCTTTTAAGAGGATGCTCTGCAATATTACAGATGTCAGAAGAAACAACCAACCAGAAACATTAAACTATTTTAAAAACTATTTCAGGCACTGATCATAACGAAATCTTTGTGATAGTAGCCTTGGCTAAAGTTCAAGAGTATTTCTGCAGTCCCAAAGCATTATTCCCATCAGAAGCGACTTGAACAAAAATCTGAAAGTCAGTTGCTAAAAATGACAAGGAAAAATACGCAGTGCAAAGAATCAGTCCTGATAAACAATTGATATTTGTAACTGTAAAAGTCTGAGGATGCAAGTGTCCAGTGGTACACTCCCGCCATTATTTCTGAACAGAATCTCACTCTGTACATCCAACTGAATTCCAGCAGCCCCCTCAGTGCAAACTCACTTTTCATGAATAACAGCTGTTTTGTTTTAATCACTAGATTTACTGAAAATTTCAAACAGAAGGGGAAGAATATTTCTCTCTCCTTTGACGGCCTCAGAAATCTGTGTAGTTTATAGCTCTGCTGCCTTTAAAGCTGCTTTTCTCAAACTTTTACATCTGATAATTTTGTTTTAAATAGCTGAATTTCCTATTAGTTCTTCCCTCCACATGCATTTTCTCTGCTTTCTGGCTTGCCCCCAAATCACTTAAGTAGCATTGTGTTTACTAGTCATTCTCCACAAAAAATCCCTGTAGTTTTGCCCGTTCAGCTTAATCCAAATTGAAACGCTTCACCGTAGTTGAACTCAAGATAATTTTTGAACTCCAGGACCCACATCCCCTTCAAGCTTGCTTCTGTGGTCTGCCCTTCCCTGTCATTAGTCCCTGGTTCACCCACACACAAGTGATCCCCAGGGAAAATTACCTTTCATCTCCTTTGCAGCTGCAATCCAGCTACTCCAATTCACTCCAATTTCTTTAACCTGGCAAGGCTTAGTTCCCCCAGCAAAAAAACAAGCACAAGTCGACCATTGCTGCTAATGCAGCCTCCACAATATAACCAACTCCTCAGACCCAGCTGAACACTGCAGAGCAGCAACAGAAATGCACATGTATAGGGTACTCAATAAGCTTCTATGTTCAGCTGTGCTTGCTTCCTACTGCTTTCTTCATCCAACTCAAAGATGACACTTTCCACATGGTTAACAGAAATCTCTTTTGGGAATTTAGGAGATGCAGGGATACTAAAGAGATAGAATGTAATTTTCCTGGGGATTTTCACTCCCCTTTTTCCTTCTCTGTGCCTTTTTCTGCTTCACAAACTGCAACCTTAGGAGGGACACTAGAAAGCTAGGAAATACAATTGGTGTCTTTTGGCTACAGTGCATTCATGTGAAAGATTTCTTCAACTTCGCTGATTAACATAATGGTAACTTAATTCACGGTAATCATCATTCAGACAGATCCCCAGTGTTGGTTTGCTCTAAGAGAAAAATTTCAAGAGTTTACTTTGCAAAAGGGAAGCCCATTTCTGAGCTCTTTCATCTTCTGTATTGGCCCACAGAAATACATTTGAGGGGTTTAGAGAATATGGTTGCCATACTCATCTTGCATGTCAGTCTACTGATATATTTTTCTTTCAGGTTTCTGTGGTATTTTATCAACACTTATCAAACAAAATACAGTGCCTGCTATATGCAGGAGACTAGGAGACTATCAGTCTGGAAACTTAATTTTTTCTGTAATCATTGTTTTAAAAGTACATTCTGCCTCTGCTTTTTATGCTTTTGAGACTGGACAAAAAATTAAAGTATTAAGTACAGTCAATAGTAAATAGTTAACAACGGAAAACAAGATGCAAAGCAAATCTCCATAAACTTCATTAAAACAAAAGTGCTCTAGAAAAAGTAACTTGTGATAGCATGTCCTCAGCTTTCATCTGCTTTTCCTGCAAAACCTTTAGAAAGCTGCCTTTAACAAAGGAACAATCTATGAAAAAGCAGAGGGCTAGTAGCATGGGGCAGTCAAGTAAGGGCAGTAACAGAAAGAAAACGCTGATGGCTCTTACATGAAATTACTGCTCAAAAAATAAGGCTAGACTTGAAAAAATGAAATCTTCTTAAGACCCCTGAACAGCTAGACAGAGTTCCTGAAGTAGTGAAAATGCAAGAAAGGTTTCCAAAGGAGATTTTATCATCTGTAGATCTATAAATTTTGAGAGGCATGTGTCATATTTGAAATGACTTATGTAGTATGTATCCTGCCTTTAAACCCCAAAGCAGCTTTCAGATGATGAACCCAGAACACTCATCGTGTAGTTGGAGTTCTGGGAACAGAGAAGTTCGGAAAAGCATCACTAGCTTTGGAAAGGACGCAATTTGACAGCTGAGTGCCATATACCAACAACAGGCGCTGCAAAACGATTTTGAGTTGCAAGAACAAGCTCAGAATATGAGAAGTTTGGAGCACTTACTGAACTCCATAATATATCAACCACGTTAATGCACTGCCAATGTGTTTTTGTGATCAGTCACTTCAACAAACCCGTAATTGGGTTTCATCAACTTTTAGAGATGGGCCTCTCCTGCTGCTTTGGGCATGTCACTGCACAAAAACTATTGTCTTTGTTATTGTTTATGATCGTTGCCTAGAGAGCAAAAGATAACATTATAATCTATTTAAATAAAGCTAAAAAAAATCAACTTCCTTGTAATATTTCCCTATGTGTCAGGTGCAACATAAAGAAACTGTTTTTACAGGTGATGTAACTAACATCTATACCTCTTGAGATAAGCATATTGAAATACACCGAGCATGTGAACAAAGGTGACAGCTGTCCATCTTCTGACAAGCTGACACGACTAAGTGATGAAGCAAGCCATTTTAAGAGCCTGAAACAATGGTTAAAAACGAAGAGAACAAAACAACTTTTCACTTAATTCCCAAAGCAAAATCCCTGTTCAACTGTTTTTAATCCCCTCCCCACAAAATTTCAAAAACACCGTATGTGACATGAAATGTATTGCTTTATTAACAGCAATAAAGAGAAATTCCAGTAAGACCTAAGTGATGCGTGTCTCTCCCTGCTCTTCTGAATCCACTAACACATGTTATGCTAATCCTCCTATGTTATTCTTTCAACAAGATCACCTGTAAAGGCAAAAGACAATCAATGATCAATTATTTGGAAACCTCCATTCCATCAAATGCAAACTCACATTTACAGAAATGAAGGCTTTGGACCCAATACAATTTGCACAAGCTATTACTATTATCTAATGTACAGCTCAACACACAATTAAATAGGTACCAATCTGAGGCTCACCATTACTCAGAGCACTTCCTGGATTAGACAAGTCTTACAGAAATGTGTACCACAGAAAGAAGCATGATACATTTCAGAGTCCTAACATAATCTGTACTCCATAGCCAAGCTACAGTAATTGCAAAACCAGGCTTGCAATAACTAGCATTTATGACTATTACTACACACAGCCTGTTGTTTGCTTTTTCTGCCTTACAAATCAGCTTTGTCAGCTAAAATTATCTTCAAAACAAATGTTGGTATTCCTTTTAGAGTCACAAGATCTCATGTCCATATGGAGGTGCCAATGGATCCTGGAAAGCCGCAAATATGTAATTTTGCTATTGTACTAAAGGTAACGTGCAACGTAAGAGACAGTAAGGCAGAAACATGAAAATAAATTCCATGTAAAGGTGACATTAAGTAGTTAATCAAGAAAGGTATGAAAACATGATAGCATTAATTAATGGCAAAAAAGTGCTTTCTTAGACAAGGAGATACTTGAAAGAAGAGCAGAACATAGGAAGAAAAGTGATCTTAACCCAGAATTATATAATACAATTAAATACAGAGATAAATCTTTCCATTTACCTTTTGAAGCCAAAAATTCTTAATGCAACAGTAAATACTTTAAAGTGCAAAGTGTATTAATGGATATGACTTCTCTATCACTGAACAAGTTAATCTTGAACATGTATGCTGACAGAAGTGCTGCTAAGGAATGCCCTGTATTATATATTGTAGTGAATTGTAAATTTCTGATTTTTGAAATTCATCATAATTGGGTTATTGCACTGTAAGGAAAACCACATACTTCTGCATTGAATATCTATCTGCCTTACATAACATCCAGATAGACACAGTTCTGAGTTACAAAAGAAAAAATGGCTGGTATTTCATAACTCTACAGAGAACATGTACCTGCTATCTGATTTACAGATGTTTAAGTTATAGTTAAGGCACTTCACAGGACCAATTCCTTCTCAAATCTGAATTTTATACCCCTTCATTTTAAGCAGGTATTTCCACTGAAAATCCTCAAATTAAAAAAAAAAAACAACCAACCAATCAACCGAACAAAAAAATAACCCCACATTTTTACCTTAAGTTCTAAAATCTCCCATTTTGGCTCCACAATAAACCAAGAAATAAAAATAAAATCAGTTAAAGCAACTGAAGAAACTGCCTTTAAAAGCTGCAAGAGCTGGCAACAGGCTTCATAAGTGCTTCCTAAAAATAACTACAGCATCACTAGGGAAAAGCTAACATGAAAGAAAAAAAAAAAAGAAGAAAAAGGAGGGAAAAAAAAGCAAGCCTTGCTGGCTTGATTTAAAACCATGGCACCCTAAAAAAACCTAACTGTTAAGTTTTAGTTTTGGCATTACTACTATTTTTGCATAAGCAATGGGGGAAGGAGAGATTAGTTCTCAGCTAGAGGCTCAGCTCTGGTCAAGTAATTTTTCACACAATCATAGATACAATATACTTTTTATTTACTACACATTCACACACAGAGTACAACAGACTGCAGTTAAATACATGGATTTCAACTGTTTAACAGTGAGAGTTGGGGCTACTCACAATTGGTAGAAGCACAAGTGACACTTCACCCCTTACGAAAAATCACTTCTGATAAATGCAGTACTTAACTGGAAGATATTGTATAAGATATTTAATATTTATGTCACCTTTTAAATATTTAGCATGTTCATATTTGATCACAAAATGCGTGTTTGGAAAAATATTTTATTGGGTTGGCCAAAAATTGTGTATTTTTCTGGGTAAATGAAAGGTGAATTTTCACAGGAAACAAAAACTGTACTGAACAATATAGTGCCCATTTTGTTCAATTACCTTCTGCCATCTTTCAGGCAACTTCATGATTCTGTGCTCAAAAAAGTTCTTCTCTTTTTTGGCAAAAAGCGGTTCCAATAATGATGCGATATCCTTATCACTAGTGAAGGTTTTACCATCCAAGGTGTTTTGTACAGAACAAAACAAATGGCAGTCTAATTGTGCCAGGTCTGGCGAATCTGGTGGATGTGGCGACATCAGTTTCTGACAACTGACCAAACTTGTGTGTCATTCATTCAGCATTATCATGGAGACACACACCACCTTTGCAGTTCACCAATTCTGGATGCTTCTGTTTGATGGCATAATTTCATTTATCCATTTGATGACAGTACATATCTGAATTAATGCTTTGGTTCCTTCGAAGCAATGCAAAATGCACAATAGCTTTGAAATCCCACCAGACTGACAGCATCACCTTCCTTTGGTAAATATCTGCATTTGAAGTGCTTTGAGCTGGTTCATCACACTTGCTCCACAATCTTTTTGTTTATCGTTGTTGTAGATGATCCATTTGTCATTGCCTGTTATCATTTGTTTCAAAAATGGATCGTTTTCTTCATGTTTCAAGAGAAGCACAGATGTCAACGCGCTTAGTGAGAAGAATTTCTTTAAGCTCCTGTGGTACCCAAACATCAAGCTTCCTGACTTGTCCAAGTTGTTTTAAATGGTTTTCAACACTCGATTTCGATGCTTTAAGATTATCAGAAATCTCTCGTGTTGTTAAACACCAATTGGATTCGATCACTGCCCTTACTTTGTTGTTTAGAATTTTGATTGGCCTTCCTCAGTGTGATGCATCTTTAACATCAAAATCTATGGACTGAAATTTAGCAAACCAATTCTGACACTGCCAGTTTTAAGGCATTGTCACCATACACATCAGATAACTTTTTATGAGCTTGCACAGCGGTTTTGCCTTTTCAGAAGTCATACAGCAAAATATGACAAAAATGTTCATCTTCATTTTCCATTTTGAAGTCGATGCCAAATAAATAATTTTTAATGAAATCGTGCACTTCCTTTTTCTAAAACAAGCTTCAACTGTCAGCTGTCAAGTTACATAATGAATTTGGGTTTTAAATGAAGTTAGTTACATTTCAAGACATGTATGTCTTTCTGTTAAAAAGAAAACACAATTACTTTTTGGCCAATCCAATAAATTTGAATGAATTGTAATAATAAGCCTCTTCAATTTCCCCCAGCTTGCATTAAAGATGAGTGCTCTCTGGTTTCAAGCATTTGAAAGATGCTCTTTTATCTGTTAAAGTAAAATAATTCCATGTTTTTCTATATTCACCAACTTTTTTACAGCTGTGTACAACAAAAAAAGATTACACACAAAGTTGGCTACTGAACTAGGAAAGCTCTTCTTTTAGAGTTTAAATGACATTAAAACTTCTTATTTGGAATATAAAAGAGGAAATCCTCAAAAGTGAGAAGCCTCTTCGACTAAGCCTCTGCTTATTGTAGTTCTCAAGCACACCTATCAGACTCTCTCTCTCAAATCCTCTAGCACCAAGACACAGAATTTAAGTTGCTGATAATTATTCAATGGATATAATCACTATGACAACCATTATAGCAAAAGCAGCTGTAGTGGTCTCCAATCAATGTGTGGTATCACATATACTGCTATAATACCTTAGCATCAATAAATAAGGGAAAACCTTATCACCATAAATGTAAATAGTGTGGACTTCTTTTTGTTGTCCATCTAAATTCAGGCATGATAATAACAACAATGTATTTTTAGGATGATAAACTCTAAATGAAGTCTTTATATACTTTCTTACAATGCTCAACATTCTTTTTAGTGTCTATTCTACTGAAGACTAAGAGTTACGAAACATCTTTAACTGCGTTTCATTTCCTGGTATCATGCTTTACAATACCTAAATGTGCAACAGTGATCAGTAACAATTCACAGTTCAAATACTGCAAAACAAATCAAATCCTTAAGCTAGGAGTTATAAAACACTGAAATTGGTTTATGTCACACTGGAGTGATTAAATAAAAACATTTTAAGGTATACTGCTTACTTTCTGTTGTTCATGTTGTTATAATTATTTGATAGAGATGGAGAGATCTTTGGTAAAGTTGAAAAATTGGATGCACCTGGGGACCTTTAAAAATATGAAAAAGATAAATTAGATTAAAATGTTGGATAATAGACTATGGAAGAAAGCTAACAATTGAGCAATGCAGATAAGCATGGAAAAGAAAGATTTATTTTTTTTTTTTTAAGTGGGCAAAGCACTAAAAATACACAGGACATGAAGCCCTCAATCCATCTTTTAAAACTAGAAATACTCCACAGTACTTTAAACTTTCATATAATGGTGAAGAAATAGAGCTATTAAAACCAAAAAGCAAAGAAACAAACAAAAATCACAGGCCACTGTGTTAAAAAAACAGTTTTCAGTTTATAGCAAGAATATAGATATTTTGATGTTCTGAAACCTAGAATGTAAAACTGCTAACACAAAAATTTTTAGTTTTTCATTGTTGAGACAAGATATGAAACAGATTAAGATACACACTTTATGGTTAGTTGAATAGCAGCATTAAATAATTTAATTAAAATTGCTGTATCACTATTGTTAAAAAATTCCAGGATATTATGCATATTACTAAATGAACTTTAAAAACCATTTTTGCCAAAAGTGTTAGAATTATCACTCATTTCCATTGTTTAAGACTATTTTAAAATATAAGAATACTGGTCATTTTAATCAAAAAGACTTTATGAATTTAAATACTATCTATGCTTTTCTTTTTCTGATCAAATGTTACAGACAACCATGGAAAAAGTTCTTAATACTCAAAGGAATTTAGGCATCTTCACAGTCCTGTGGAAGCTATGCAGCTCCAACTGGTTTGCAAGGAGTTTCAGCTGTTCTTGGAAAGCTTTGAAATACATATCACAATCTTAAGAGAAGAAATTCTGCATGCTCAGGATTTTTTTAAGCACCTTTCAAGAACTAAACTCTGCATGGAGATAATAACTTTTACACAGGGAATTTCCCCAAGCATATTTTCGTATGTATTTTCAAACTTTTTATTAATAAACCTTTTCCAAAAGAAAAGATGTATCGCCATGTGAAGAAAATGTTATTTAATTTTTAAAATACTCCGACCAGCATTTGTAAAACTTTCCTGTAGATTTCCCTTAACAATCTAAATCCTTTTATTTGAATAGTCTCTTCAAACTAAAATATAGACTGTGTCCACAAGAAAGATAAAATTTAACCTCACCTAAATTCACGACAGAAGTTAAGTTACACACATTCAGACAAGTAATTATTTTAGAAGAAGCTATTTGAACTCAGTCATTTTGAACTTAAATTGAACTTTTCAAAACAAATTTGAACTTTTTGTACCATTTAAGTGAAATTAAAATATAATAGTTTTAAATTTAAAAGCTCAATGTATAATTGTTGTCTAAAATTTTTAAAGAAACCAGAATAAGCTACATACATAAAGGTCTGGTTTCCACCAAAAATGAAAAATAACTTAATTTATGTCTTAGAGAAGATGACAATCACTAGTTTTAATCTTTGAAAGCATTTGCTATCAAACACAAAATGACAATAACATGTAAAACAGTAAAAGATTCCTACTGCTCTGACATGTGCAGCCTTCCTGTTTGCTTACAGCTGCTTACATTGCTAAATCCTATGTGGAGAATAGAATTCATTCACAGCTCTTACAGCTTTTAATATATTTCAGTATTTGTGGGAAAACGTAGTAACAACATTGGCAGAAATCCCTGCATCATACAAAACAAAACAAAACAAAAGAACAGAACAAGGATAAAGAACTCTGAAAGAGAGTAAGCGCTAATGTTGAATGTACTGCCACACTTCAACTCTGCCTTTAAAATTGTAACAAAAGAATAACCAAAAGTATCTACTCATAAAACAACTGCCATGACTCAGGAATCTCCCAAGACAAAATGAGTAACCAAATGTGCGATGAAAACTCAATTATGTTTTAAATGCAAGGTTCAAAGACAAAGCATATATCCTTTTAGTAGTATACTAACATCAGTATGTATTAAAGTTACTGTGGTGTTAAAACCCCACAGAAAGATGTTCAAAGAATGCAGTTACTTGCTTGACAAAAATAATCAACTTTAAACTCTGGTTGTAAAAAAAAAAAAGAGCAATAATCACTAAATGGCCTTGTTTCTCATACGCAGGAAAAGTGTAAACCAAATTCTCAAGATAGATGGAGAAACATCAGTAATGATGTAAAAGATAATTTTGAAAGGTAACTTTTTATAAGCTAACAAACAAACCCCATAGAATTATTTATTACAGTTTAGCCTTTCAACAGTCCAGCAAAGGACAGGTTAAAAAACAGCCTTTACTGTAGTGATAAATAAGACCATGCACCAACCGCTGAGGAAGCTGGTTGATGCTACCATGATGGCCCTCTGGTTTACTTCTGAAAGGTCCTGGCTACTGGGAGAGGTTCCTGAAGAGTGAAAGAGAGAAAATGACACTCATATCTTCAAGAGGGCAAGAAAGATGATCCAGGAAGTACAGGCTAGTCCGTCTCATCTCAATCCTACAGAAGGTAATGGAGCAACTAATCCTGGAAACCATTTCCAGACACATGAAAGACAAGAAGGTGATGAGGACTAGTCAGCATGGATTTCTGAAATAGAAATGTGGCTTAACCAGCCTGATAGCCTTCTAAGATGAGATTACCAGCTTCACAAATGAGGGAAGAGCAATGGATGTTGTTCATCTCAACTTCAGGAAGGCTTCTGACACTGTCTCCTGTAACATCCTCAGAGACAAGCAGATGAGGCATGGCTTATGTAAACGTACAGTGAAACAGACTGAAAACCACCTGAATGGTTAGAATTAGATGATTTTGACCAGTGGCACAAAGTCCAGTTGGAGGCCAGTCACTAGTGGTACACTCCAGGGGTCAATATTAGGTCCTATGCTCTTCAACATCTTTGTTAATAACCAGAACATCAGGACAGAGTACACCCTCAGCAAGATTAGAGATGACACAAATCAGAGAGAGGCTGATACAGCAGATGGGTGTGCTGCCATTCAGACAGACACTGACAAGACTGAGAAATGGATACACAGGAACATCATGAAGTCAATCAAAGGAAATGCAAAGGCCTGCACCTGGGAGGAATAACCCCAGGCACCAGTACACACTGGACAGGGAAAGGGCAAGGTGGCCAGATGGAAAGCAGCTTGGCAGAGAACACCTGGGGTCCTGGTGGACAAAAAGCTGAACATCAGCCAGCAATGTGCCCTTGGGCCAACAACCTTGTGGGCTGCACTGGGAAAGGCATTGCTGGCAGGTCAAGGGAGGTGATCCTTCCCCTGCACTCAGCACTGGCGAGTCACCCCTGGAGTGCTGCCTTCACTTCTGGGTTCCCAAGTGCCAGAAACAGGGACACATTGGTGCAAGCCCAGTGAGAGGCCACAAAAGTGACCAAGGGATTGCAGCATCTGAGCTCCGTGGAGAGGCTGAGAGAGCTGGCACTGTTCAGCCTGGAGAGAAGAAAGCTCCAGAGCAAACTTATCCATGTGTATAAATACCCAATGAGAAGGAATGAAGAAGATGGAGCAAGACTCTTCTCAACAGTGCCCACTGGACAGAGAAGAGGCAATGGGCACAAACTAAAACACCGGCAATCCCATTTAAATACAAGAAATCTTATTTTACTATGAGGGTTATCAAACACTGGGCACAGTGACAAGTAATCTGCTCTAGATGATCCTTCTCCAAGCAGGTGAGTTGGACCACAATCCGCAGAGATGCCTTCTAACCTCAATCATTTTGTGATTTTGTGAAAAGCTTAGCTGATGTTATGAAATGATCTTGCCTTTCTCAAGCATTATAAACTTTTCATACTTTCCAATATTCTCTATTTTGACCTTTCTGCATAAGACATTTTATTCCCTGACCTCAGAATTTACGTTTACACTTTGTACTCTTCTAAAACGAGCACGACAAAGAAGTAGTCTTCACAGGAACTGGTGCGAGACCAATGACAGGACTGAAGAAAGGTATCTGCATGTATGGTATTTGTGATGACAAACTAATACTCCTAATGCATCTCACTCAGACTCAGAAGCAAGTGTTTAATATTTCTACCCCTTTAAACATTAATTACATTTTTTCAGAAAGTTTTAAACAGGTGTGGAAACCTGTCCCCATTACTGCTTGTTGATAATTTCTATTTGAACCCACTAAATTTTGCAAACTTCCCATTACAATGCATTTGAATACCAAACTTCAATCAATCTTTCTGGCAGCTGCCAAACCTCAAAAACATACGTCAGCTTCACAGTAAAACTATTTATCCTCATTTACTTGTTTACTTATAGCCTCCCACTGACACCAGTATTCTCAGTTATCATTTTACCTGTCGCCAGATCAAACATTTTACAGGAGATATTCTTTAATTTCGATACTGTTCCTGAATGCCTTCCATAACGTGGAATGGAAATTTGGCAGAATAAAAGCAAATACCATCATCAGGAGTATCTTCCTACCAAAACTTCCAAAAGAATCTGTGACATTGAGTTATCTAAATTCTTTTAACCTTCAAAATCTACATTTAAAATTTGACTCAGAATTTACATTTCTACTAGATGCTTTTCGAGGTCAGAGATTAAACTTCCAAGCATTTTGCATCCTGCTGCTCTACATTCTCAATTCTGTGTTATGACATCTTGCTAAGCAAGATTGTATTGTTCATACTAAACTTAAATTGAACTCAGACTTCATTAAGCAACTTAATAGAATTTTCTAGTGCTACTAATAGAACTGCTTGAGATAACAAATTGCTGTCCTTCAAATGATAAGCAATGATACTGTAAAACTGTTTGAAAACGACAGGGTCAATTACAAGAATGCAGACTATCAAAAGGAATAAAAGGAACTTGAAAGAACTTTCTATGAAAGATCTGCTCAGGAACCAACCAACAAAAGGACACAACACAATTACGTATTTGTAATGCTGAGATGGTGTTAGTTTACCAGTAACCAGTTCCGACTCTTCTTCAAAAGCCAACAGAACATGATTTAGATTCTGAAAACAGTATTAAAAAAGTTTATCCACCTAAACGAGAAAAAACACACTCAAGTCTTTCCACTCCCTTGCCATTATCAACAGCACCTTGATAATGGCAGCAGGAAGAACAGAAAAAAAAAAAGATTATACTCTGTTAATTGATGACAGCCCAACAAAGAACAAAAGCAACATGCTGGTAATGTAGACTGCAATTTAAATCATGTTAATGTGTAAATATTGTGCTCTGGAGATAAAAGGACAAGCTATTCATGAAAATATTTACATATAAGAAAAATACTGATAAAATACACCTATGTTCACCTAACAGATACACTATGCTTTAGAACAGAATTCTACATAAAATAACATATGTAAATAAGTTTTAAATATTTTTAGTATGGATTTTTTTTCTATTTTTAAGCAGGATAATGTATATCACTGGCTGAAATCAACAAAATTAAGCAACATATATGCAGGAAATCACCATCATGTCACGTTCTACAATGTGCAGCACTTAAACACGCCATTTGGCATATTTTCAGTTAAAAACATCTGAAGGCTGATTTTCAAAATAAAACACCACTTTTCAAAACACTTTTTTTTTAACGTAAAATAACGTGAAAATAGTTAAACTGTAGAGAATAATATGACTTAAATTCACAACTTACTTAGGAGTTGAAGGACCTCTTGGCCATGTTCCATCGTCATTCCTCTGTTCTATCACCAGTACCTACCACAAAAAGCGTAACAGAAAAACTGAAATAAAAATACCAGTAGATTGCTTTCTGTTCCAGTCTTTTAAAAGGATTTGCTGACAGGTGATTGATACAGAAAAGACTGATGTTCAAGTTACTATTCCCTGAGGTTCAAGAATATTCCATTCTATTATACTGCACCTTCCTCTTGCTCTATTTACTTTTTTCTGTCCCCACACCTTAATCTGTGCAACATTGGGAAAGTCACTTAATATTTCTATGCCTCAGCAATCCATGGATAAAATTGCAAGACTTTACCTCTCAAACAGGTCAGAATACCACCTGCAATGTCTAAACAGCATCTGTGAATCTATAGAAACCACATGTTTATACAGCAGCCCTGTTAAGGAAGGGATATTCCCAAAGGAATATTGCCTCTCACACAACACAGAGCAAGCAGTGGAAAAAAAACCACAAAAAGAAAAAACCAAACCATGTTATGCCTTAATATCCTTAAAATGGTACCTGTCTGGTTACTACTGTATATTTTGCAAAAGCATTCATCTAATATTAATTTTCCAATGGGACAGTTGGCTAATGAAAACTATTTCATTCAAGTTGCTATTGGTACAAAAGGGAGTACAGAACACTCAGTCCTAAACACAGGCATTAAATGCCATTTGAAACGCCTTCGGGTATTTGAGATGCCTGCCCTATGCTGGCAGATATGACACAGGACCTACATGCCTTTCTGCTCATGCAGATGCCTTTCTGCTCATGCTCATGCTCATGCCTTTCTGGCCGACAGCTGGCATAGCCTAGATCATCTGAAACAGCAAACAGACTCCAATATTTACACTCAATCTCTTAATTTCCAATGCAACCAATTCTACCTAATTCTACTCTGATGCTTCAGGACGCTAATTAACTGCCATGCTATGCCTGTAGGTGTCTACAGAGTGACATACATCCACAGATGTACTTATGCTCAAAAACTTACGCATAAGTACACATATTGCACTTGAATCACGTTTTCAGTCTGAACACAGTAAGATATGACATTGAAAACCAGCTTTCTACTGTGACTTGCTTTCTATCTCGGAAAAAAGCAGTCTGCTATCTCTGGTCATAAACACTGTAAGACAGATTCTGCCATCTTTTCTTCCATTGGCTCTCAGAGACCACTAAATAAAAGGAAGGTTTAGACTCAAAAGCTCAATGGAACCCCTAATGGCTCACTTCAGAAACCAACTGATAAATTCAAAACATTAATTTACTCAGTCAAATAAACAGTTTAGAATTACACAGGAAAAAGTAACTATTAAGTTAGACTGAAATAGCCAGAATAACTATTACTAGATTAGGAAGCTCAGCAAGAAAAACAACAACCTTTTATGTCAGCAAGTGCCACTGACCAGACACACATGGTCTACCAGGACATTTAGCATTTTCAGAAACCATGGCTAAACTCGGTTTTTAACAATATTTGTTTTGTTGAAAGTACAGATGTCACCTAGAGATCTTTCTAAGGCTATATTAGATCATGCTTGCTTCATAGTTAATGTTTCACTGCGACAGAGGCAAATTGCAAGTTACATCTTTGATGCAAACCTTTTGTGGGAGATGTGGGCTCTTCCAGCAGCACCTCCCTGCATTGTGAAAATTACCTGTGTGAGGGTTTAAGTGCGTGCAGTATGAAGCTAAAGGTTACAACAGTTCAGGCTGTTATTTTGGGGCACTGATCACTTACCTTCCATGCCGTAAGAGAAAACTGAAGCACAGCATAAATACTGCTGGCAAGTAGGTTAGAGTAAAGTATTTCAAGGCAAAAGGAAATGTTTAATATAATCTTGCCTACAATTACTGCCATCAAATTTCATCCATTCATAATTGTAGCATGAGAGCATGAACTACTGCTGCTGAAAAAAAAAATCCAATTCTATTTGAAGAATAAAGAATCAATGTAGTAATCTGAAAAGTTATTCAAGCAATGAAATATTCGATCAGTTTGCATTTAAATTTGTGCAGCTTTAACATCACTATTTGTTCTTTATATACATCTGGAAAGGTAAAAAAATATCTTCTAAATTACCTTTATGACAGGATTTCTTAAAGTGATGATATAGTCTCATGCTGAAGTGGGTTTTCAAACTCTTTTGTCTCTACAGTTCTTATTTGAAATCTTTTTATTATTTCTTAATATCTTTCTGAAATCTGGACAGTGGAATTTCAGTAGAAGACATTATCCTTTTAGAGCATCTAGACAGTTCTTCAAATTTTGGGTTTCATTATAGGAATATCTCTCAGACCCTAGGAATGCTTTTATTATTTCAGGTTTTACCAAGTTCAAGTCAGCAATGTTACTTTCATTTACTTTTACTTCATCATGAGAGTTAAAACTCATCTTTAATCCTGAAAATACACTCAGAGAATAGTTTTTATTTTGATGCGTTTTTTATTTATATAAAATTCTCTATCCCTAACACAATCTATTAGAAGGCAATTTTCATCTAAAAAGAAGGAAAATTCATTGGGTACAGCTACATTTTCATGCATAAAATATATATATACACACAAAAAAATGACACTGTACCTGTCCCTGGTATAAACCAGCATCCTGTATAGTACTGTCTGGTTTATTCAAAGGTTCAAAAGTATTACTCATGTATTTGTTCCACAATCTGGTCTCTTTTTCACATGGAATATTGAAGATTTTTCTTAGTTCTTTTTCAACTGTTTCTGTTTTGGAATGGAGAAAACAAAAGTTTAGTTAGCATTTCACTACATAAACCATATAAAGCCGAATAAAGCATCAGAATCACTTAGTCTTTTCTTATATTCAAAATATGAATGAAACTAGAAACAGCCATGAAGCTACCTCATGCTGTAGGATACGCAGGAATTTGCTAGTTCTCTTGCCTTTAAAATGTAAACAGAGGATTATTTTATTCCCTCCTGAATCTCTTAGCAAAGCAGACAAAATGAAGACAAGTTGGTAAAAAACAGATGACAGCAGGTACTTAGGAACCCATCAACTAATTTCTCAGAGTGTGGTAACACAGGAGTGTGGCTGGGTACAGGATGATTAGAAGTGAGACTGGCAGCAAAATCAGGTGCAGGGAGAGCAGGTTATTCTGTTTCTCTCCCTAAATCAAACCTTTTTGATTTTCTCTCTTCTACTACCTGTACCCCAGTGCAATTAGCACTAACCACTATATATATATATATATATATATATGCACAAACTTTAATTTACATGCTCACAGAAATTAAAGACTATTCTGTAAAACAGAGGCACATAAATTTATTTTAAAAGCATGATGAAAGTTTTTAAGTCCATGAAAGAGTTAACATATGGTCTACCAGCTCCCACTCTACCTAACAGAAACATAAAAAATGCTACATAATTTTAAGGTAGTAGTAACTATTGACTGCTACTGAAATTCAAGAAGTTCATCATTAATTCCATTCTCCTTATTCAAAAGTAGAGTTTATCCAAGAGTTCTTTCATTTGAATTAATATCTACAGTGCTACACCACAGCAACCTCACTTAGGGGTCTTTTTAATTGGTATGCTCATAAAGCCCCACAGCAGCCAGGTCTCTTAACAGCTAACACAGAAAACAAAACAGGAGTCAAGAAATGTAGAGTTTATTCCTGATGGTCACTGAAAACACAATTATAAAAATGGGTACTGTAAGCTCTTTAATGCCCTGAAGTCTTAGGATAAAACACCAGTGTGTCAGCTCCTCTAGCTAGAGGACCCTTGTTCCCTTTTACTTAAGTTTATTATTTTCTCTTCCACTGTGCTAAATACGAAAAGTCAAAATGAGACCTAAGGCTCAAAAATACCTTGTAAAAATCCAGCCACTGGTTTGTGAAATGCACGACAACTGGCTAATATAATATTTGTAGATATCGTAGGCTGAATATGATTTCCTTCAATACTAGTTAACACACATTTTAGTACAAAAGCAAGTGTTAGACTGAATCATCTGTTTCTGTAATAGAGACAGTATGTAGGCATGGTAGGTGCTATCAACAAGGCAACAGGCTGTTACTTGATTTGTTGACTTAAAGAAAAAAAAAAAAAAACAGGTACTGCCCAAATCAATTCTTCACCCATGGTTTCAAGTAACTGTATTTGAATGTAAGAATCTAGTCAGCAACAACCTTAAAAAAATAAATCCAGACATATCAATGACTTTCACTGAAAGAATTTACAAAAGATAATTTTTCATTATCTTACTAATCCCGTAACAATTAATTATTTGAGCATTGCAGCTTGTATTCTTCGCAAGTACAAAGTTAACATTTGTTAATTTTTAATCTATTTCAGCTTCACTAACAGAACTGCTATGAGACAGGAAGCTTCAGTCCTACCAGATGACTACACACTATGTCCAAGACTGAGAAAAGCATGATCCACTTGACTATCATGCTAGTTTTGAGACTATGAAAATAAAGTTCTTTTACATACTTCCATGACTGTAACCAATATGCACGTTATAATTCTTCCCCTTGTCCCCTAGCAAGTACTGCTGAAGTGCTGGCTCATCATCTAAAGTGAAAGTGCCTGTTCCAGCACAAATGAAAACATTACATTCAAATAGGTATGGTCTGAGGCATATCATGTATGAGGCTCTTCTCTAGTAGTGCAATACACACCCCACGTATGAGATGATCAGTACTAGGATGATGTAGAAAAAAGTCAGGAAGGACTGCTCTTTAAAGATGCCACTCACTCCATCGGCTATATAGCAACAATTTGAGATAGTTCAACTTGAGAGTTAAAGGTCATGGATCCCAAATAGCAAATATCCTATATCACTAAAAATCAAATAGCTCCTCCAAAAACCCCAACAAAACAGCTGCATGATTTAAGTACCATTTTGCAAGACGACATGGAAGAGTCTTGATGGAGCTGGAGGAGTTCCATGGATCCTAACACAAGTACACGCTGCCTCTTAAAGGCTAGTGCTATCACAAATACTGCAGTAAAATGTTAATCTGCACTATGGAACAGTAATCCCAGCTTCCAAAAGAAGTGAAAGGCTAATCACAGATCCCAGAATAAATTGTACTCAAGAATACATTCTTGTATTCTGCAGCAAACTAAAGGGAAAGATGAATCAAAGCCATTTGCAAAGATAACTTACTAGCAAAAGTCCAAAAGTTCATTAGATGTAGAGCCACTGGCGCAATCTTCTATAAAATTTATCAGCTCAGTTTTGGAATTGTTTTATGGCATTGTAGACACAACCTGACTCCTATTCATCCATTTCAAAACTACAGTCAGTCCATCTGTCACTTTGTGGTTTGTAAAACTCTTGAATAAAGGTGGAAAAGGCCTACACAGCAGCTGACTGATGATAGTTTTGTCATACTTTCACATGATTAAGACTCCTATATGGATCGTTAACCCATTTTTGCTCAGAAGCCCTGTGTTCTCTAGGATCAGCAACAATAACTAGATTGAAATGCTGTCTGAACTACATCTATTGTTGAGCTAATTTTCTTTATAGAACTAAAAAACCACACCTCCCCGAGAGTAAGTCATCAATCAGTCTCAAAGTTAATAAGCGCTGCCTCCACGGCAAGAGCCCTCAATTATAGGACATTCCCAAGAAGGCCCAAAGAACACATTAGATGTTTCCAGTACCATCCCAAGAAAATGACTGTCATTATTAGGTCTGCCCTTTATAATTATTTTTTCCTACCCTGTACTAACTTACTGACATATAGCTTAGCTTAGTTTCTATTCGAGTGGAAAAGTAAAGGTATTCCAGGGATAGCACACATTTGAAGATTGGTAGAAGAATATTATATTGTGCTCAGAGTACTTAAGGTGCTCCAAAACTTTCTCCATTTATGTGAATTAAGGAAGGTCTTGTCTTGATCTTTTGAAGGCAGTAAATAATATAATCTACGGTTGTAGGTAGAAAACTTAAAAGACCATTGTACCTTATGTCCACTCACTTCAGGGGGGCTGACATAGACTCTTTTGTACTACATGTCTTCTACAACCACAATGAAATTGCATCCCTTACTGAGATATGCAAGGAAAGGTGAAAAATAATCTGTAAGATTTCTCTTGCATATTATTTGTTTATATAATATAAACAAATATATATTATATATTATATGTTCTATATTTGATGAATTCCAGAACCACCTTAAATATACTTAGCTTAAGGACAGGGAAAAAAAACCAAAATTGCCATCTTATTAATGGATGATAAGAGAGAAACCTCAGAGATCAGTTATTATTCTTTCACTCATAAAAGTGATTTTAATTTTTCTACTTTTTCTTCTAAGATACAAATTCTTTTGGATGTCCTGACTAGGATGGCCTTGCTTGCTGCTCTGTATGAGAAGATTCAGCTTCAGAAAGGGCATGTTTTTAAGACTTCCCAGAGCATATCACCTGCATCTTGGGAAAGCAACCAAGTCCAGTGTCTGGAAAGGGGCTGCCCATAAGCATGACAATTACCCTTTTAAGACAATTTTCTCATAATTGTAATTCTCTCTCTGCTAAGAAAAAATGAATACACCTCCAAGTAATAGTCATTCCAAAATGCCCTGCTTCAGATTAAAGAAAGAAAATCAGAAATTCATCCATTACCTATAATTTCAGCGATACAATTAAATTCAGTATAGCTGCAAAATAGCTTGTATTTGGTCCCCATGGAAGGATAATGTTAAACTTGGTTTCCTAAGTCTCTAGGTTTGCTTAGAGAATAATGAAGTACATCTTCCCAAGTTAAACCAGATCTCAAAAGGCCAATTAATATACAACACTGAAGCCTTGTTTCAAGGACAAATTTCATAATTTTTAAAATTTTTATTCTAATACAAGCAGATGATTACTAGTTTAACTGAAAGATTAAAATTTAACAAAGCAAATTGATTCTGGTTTTAAACCAAGCAATCTGCAAAGAATTAAAGGGTAGCAAGTATAAGTCACTATCCATAATGTGAAGAGAAGCAAAATCTGAAAAAAATACACTGTTGTCAAAGAATGTAAAGGCTGGACATAAAGTACAATTCTGATTGCACAAACACAGCTGACTGAAAGACTCTTCTCAGATGCACACACACAAATACACCAAAAATTGAGTTTATATGATCAGCAATATCTTTGCATATGTTCTGATTTTATTTTCAAAGACAAATGTGTTCTCAAAATACGCATTCAAACAATTACAAAATGGTCAAAGGGCAGGGAAAATAACCACAGATAAAGATAAGTTAAAGGTTTAATGCAGTTCCTGTAAAGGATTGTGCCTGGCCTGTCACTTCACAACCCAAAATACTGCCTTTGTAGGTCTCAATTAATTCTTGTTCTGCAATATACCTGTCCCTAAACCAACTAGAAGTATTGGCTAATGAAAGACATGAATGGAAACACACGTAAAAAATATATTACTTACACACCAAAAGCCAATAAAGAGCACTATGGAATTCAATAAAGACAATGAAAACCACGGTATTGTTCACTTCCTGAAAAGTGCAAACCTCTAGAGTTAACACAGATGCCTAGATAATAAACCACACAATTAAAAAAATAAACTGTATTAAAAATCCTAAATATTTCCAATAGTTTAAGACGCATCCTTTTTAATGGTTACAATATCCATCTATCATTTTACCCAGAGATTTATTTACGCAGAACTTGTTAACACATACTATTTAAACACAAGTAACAATCATATATTGTTAAAAACAGTTGTGCATACCTATTGTATCAGCTTTACTAAACCTTCGTGTGACGATATAGTTCATATTTCCATTTTCACAGAGCTTTAATTCTGTTAGATATACTTCTACTTTGCAGTGCTTTACAAACATACCCTGTTCAACGACCTGAAAAACAGATTGGGATCAGGTATCAGTACAAGTATGTTTTCATACACACTTCATAATATTTCTGAGAACTTTTCAAGAACCTGAAGTTCAGGGAATAGAAGTCTCTTAATAAGTGCTAAGAATTAGAACTAAAATTCTTCTATAACTTTTTAGAAAAACAGTAAACTAAAAAAACTAACGTTTTGCATGATGATGACTTCTTACCAGTGCATAGCAACACCACCATGACTTCCAAAGTGTTAAGCACAGTGGCAATCACAAATACACATACTTAGCCAAAAGATAAGACACTTGATCAAAAAATAAAAACCACCAAAACTTGTATTTATTTCATTGTATGCTACTTCCTCAAAACATGAGCTACTTTTCACAGTTAAAGAATACTTATCAAAAACAGAATACACACTACTAAAATCTGGATACCACATTTTTAAACAAATCCTGTATTTAAACAAGATCAGAAAATCTTCCACTTATATTCTGATAATGAATACATTCATTTGAAATTTCACCTACCTATTACAGTTGCTTATTATATGTTCACTTTTGTAACACCTATCACAAAATAGTTAAGTATACAGGAATTTTTAAATAAAAATAAAATGTAGAAAAAAAAATATTCAGGGTCACCTCTTAAATGTTTTTCCCTTTGATCTTCCAAAGTGTAACTGCAGTACTTAGTCATGTAGACTGTTCCAAAAATAACCATCGGCCTGATATGTGATACATATGACAAATACGGTAAAAAAAAAAAGCCAGCAGCTAATTGCTAGGAGAGATCTGCTATCTGCTGTACAAATATAACTTGTATGCATGTGCCATAGGAAAAGAAAAATTAGTGAATGATTTCATTGCTGTTCAGTAGCTTGCCTTAGCTTTAATGACTGCCAACCGTGACATCTAAATAAAAATGCATCTTAATTTGAGAAGCTTAGTAGGGTTTCCAGCTACAACAAAATAGCTGCAGTAAACAAAACAGTGCAGTTATAGCTAAGACATTTCTGAGAACAAAACTGACACTGTAGTGGTACTATTACCACATCCTATTACATGGATTCATAATGTTGTTTGACATGGATCAAGTACAACATTATATCAAATTAAAATTGGATCCCCAGTCCAAAAAAATTTGATGCAACAAAGGGGATGAAAGAAAAGTATCATCCCACCTCTATGAAAAGGCAAACAGGAGAAAGAATCACGAGCAAATGACGAAGGCATCAGACAGAAAAATTCTGAACCAGAAGATACATCTCAGAGGAAAACTACTGCTCATACTGGCAGAAAATAACAAAGCTATGGCAGTTTACCTGGCCACTCATTACACGCCATCTATTTTTCCAGTTAGTTCCTTCCAAGTAGGAGGCAAGCTACTCTAATTTCCTTTCTCTCTCCTTCCATTTTCCCCTCAAAGTGAAAAAATTACAGAACTTTTACTTTACCATGACAATGGAGGAGCATTCAGTTTGCTGAAATCCATCTTCAGGAAAAACAGTAACAAGTTGATAACACATATCTTTAAAGGAGAGCCATTTTAATGGATTTCAGCTCTTACAGAACCGGAGAAAAAAAGAAAGATACATTCCAGGGATGTCTCTTTAAAAAAACAAGATCTCTTTTACTCTATTTAAGAGAACAGCAAAAAAGCTCCAACAAACTACTAGTATTGCTGATCAAATGAATCTAGAAGAAACAGAATTTCTTCTATAGCTAAACCTGGCACCTGTTTGAATGGAATGCACTTCAAGTAAGCAGCTAGCATCCATGTAGTTAGTACATACTCATGTTACAAGAGCAAAAAAGTTGTATTACACCAGAAGTCATATCAAACTAAATTCTAACAATAATCTTTCAGGAGATTTTCAGGAATGAAAATAAAGATCCCTGTAACTGAAAGAATATGTCCTAATCGTCAATCCAGACATGGGAAGCATACCAAGAAGTATTTTAAAGCTTAAGTAGTTCAGTCCAGTGAGGATGCAACTGTAACCATTAATATGAAAATCTTAAGAAATAATACATACAAAAAAAAATTATCTGATCCATAAACAGGTAAAATTATGTATTGCCTAAGTATGGTGATACCACCTAAGATAATACATTGTATCACATACCATCAGTAAGGATGGTATGTGCTGGAGCAAACAAAAATTAGTATCAAAGATGTTAATTTTTAAGTATCTTGTATTGACAGAGGGCCACAGTATCCACCATACCATGGACTACTACTTGTGTTGAAGCAAGCTTTTTGCTTGAAGAAAAAACTCCCTCTGCCAGCTGCTGAATAGAGAAGACTGCTTATCAGAAAAGGAACTACCAATTACTCTGCCAGTTTAACACTATTAGAGCTAGGCTTTTCACTAACATAGTCAATACAGTTTTAGGGTTTTATATTTAATTACAAAATAATTTGCATTAATAGACTTACAAGCTTCTAAAGCAAGCTGTTCTTGAAATATTAGAGGGCTTCCTTCCAGAAAAAGAAAGTATTACAACCCTTGCATCCTCGTTTCTGAATATTAAAAACTCAAGTCTCTCAAATCTGAATAATAGATATAGATACAGATATTTATAAGCAACTAAAGCAGAAATTGTCTATATGACTATCATAGTCCAGGACTTAACAATATTCTAATAATTCCTGTGCAACTTCTGCATATTTTGCAGGACTACATCTGAATCATATTCATTCCAGTAGGTAATTTAAAAGTACCTTGCGTGCTATTGGCTCTTGACCTTCCATCAGCGTGTACCAGCTAACTAGCCTATTCCAGCCTTCAGTTGGCAAAAGGATGTAGTCCAGCTCATCAATGAGATGTTCCTTGAGAGACTGAGAATCACCATCTATAAGAGAAAGATATTTTTACTTGAATACTGTCATTCTGTTACTTGAGCCGTTAATGTAACATTTTTCATATAAAAAGAAACATTTGTTATCAGCATTATGGCGTTCAAAGAAAAACTATTTGGAAATTATTTAGGCAAGCTATCCAGTCCATGCATTGCATAGCTATTACAGGAAGTATTCCCACATTCAGAAACTCAAGTGTTTCTTGAGAACTCTATGTTCTCATACAAACACAAGTGCCTAACTTGTTACCACACACCATGACAGTCTTTAGAGAAACCAATCAATTTCTCTACCCACTTCACACACATTCCCACATACTTCCATTTCATGCAACAGTTGCATCCTTCATTGAAAATGCAGGAATGGGTAGTTAAGAGTAGACCCAAGACAAAGTTCGAAGTAATTCATTCCATGTCAGACTGGGAGAATAACATGGTACAACCCTCCTACTTCAAAAAAACCCCCTATGCACTCTGGAAATGTAGTCCCTACAAAATTCTTCACAGGAACAGTGATATGCAACACTTGAAAGAAGCACAACGTGGCAACCTCTTTACATAAGTAGCATGATTTTAGCTTTGGTTTGATTCTTATTACAGAAGTAAGATAGCAGCTATCCTATATGTGCAAGAGGTGACTCCATATCTGAGCCACTGTGAGCCTCACACAATTAGGGCAGATGTCTTTCCATTTGGAAGCATCCACAAACAGATGAGCAAACATCCCTCACATTCAGACCCACACATTCAGCTCCAAAGAATGAATCAGGATGACAAACTTAATGAAGTGTGAAAATAAACAGACTACAAATAAAGAGTAGACTGTAATAAATACACAGTATATTTATTTTCATTGTCCTATGTGAATGAACTGCACAATTAGAAATGAGCATAAACTAATCTCAGATTGCTTCAAGTATTTTCCTTCCTCAAAGATTTTTTTTTTAAGTAATACTTCTAAGTGAAATTAATACTGTTACCTGCATTTTTCTGCAAGGACAAAAATAAGTGCACACCATGCACATGTAAAAAGTACTAAGGTCCTTGCATTTGATCCTATCTCCATACTCCTCGTTTCTCCTTTGTACAGGTTTAGCAAACAGCATAATGATTCCAATTTTAAAAAATCCTGAGCATTAAAAAAGGCACACTTGAAAATTAAAGCTCCTTTAACAACAACAACTATTTTTTTTTTTTTTAAGAATTTAACAAAACATGTTTCAACATGACCTTTTCTGTAGGAGGGCAACACTACTGAAGACACTTAAGAGATGTTTAAAAGATGCATTCACTTCCTGGTGGGAAGAGTAATAAGATTCAGCTTATCAAGACTAGAAATCTCCCTGCTTTACGTGCACTTGCTACACATCCAGTTTGTTTAAAGGGTCTGTGATTTTAAGGGAAAATAAGGGGAAAAAAAAGCTATGTTTTTTTCTTCAATCACCCAAATGGTGAAAATACAGCTAAAGAAGGATGCACAGCTTTCTTCTGCTCTTATTATCTTATCACTGGTGCTGACTCTCTCTTTCCTTCTCCACCTTGATGTGGGAGGAAAACATGGGAGATGCATATTGTTCTCTGTTCATGTATTTTAAGTGTGCAATATTTGTTACTACCATTAGCTGCTCAGATACAGCAAAAAGATACTGTTTCCATAAGACATAATCGGTGTGGTTTATAGATGACTTAATGCAGTCAAGAAGGTACAACATGGTTTGCTGCTGTTAAGGTTTTTTCTGTTTCCCTCTTCCCACACATTATTTTTATTGTATTCCCCTTAGGGAGCTATAGTACATAAATTTTTCAAGCAATGAGTAAAATAGAGTTTCACATTAACATCTCAGTGAACATACAGGTAAATAAAAATCTGGTTCTTCATGGAGATAAACACAATTAATGTGGCCTAATAGATGAGACTTAAATAAATGCACCTGTTTAAAAGATACTTTTCTTTTTCCCCTTCAGTCTGTTTCACCCTATCTGTAAAAGAGTTTTAAAGACTCAAGTTTTGGTTCAAAACTGTCTTAATTAATGATGAAAAAAATCTACATGCAAGAACTATATCCAAGAGACATTTGCTGAAACAATTAATGACTTGCACTACCAATTCTTATGTGGCCCACTCAATACTATGCATATGGCATTTCCATAATAACTGTAAGCAAGGTGTGGGGAAAAATCCATAAACATGTATCTTCCGGTCCACGTATCTGTTTATAAAGTTCATATTGTATTTCTGCACTGATCTAATATTCCTACAGGAGTTTATAGTGAGAAGATATAATTTGAATTCCATTCTGTCTTTCTAAAACCCCAATTATGCTTTCTAGTAGAATTTTTTCAAAAGTCCACTGACTGACAACCGAGTTCCTCATATGCAACAGTTTTCTATGATAAACAATCAGCTATTCTAAATGACTACTTCCTTGTGCTTGCTTTACTAATCTAAATTTGACTATATATCCATTGTTCTGAAGGTGGCATATGTGCATTTCACTACATACAACAAAATTTTTGCATATAGTGAGATTAACTGAAATCTCTGCCTGTTACTTATCACAGAATCACAGAATCACAGAACGTTAGGGATTGGAAGGGACCTCAAAAGATCATCTAGTCCAATCCCCCTGCCGGAGCAGGAACACCTAGATGAGGTTGCACAGGAAGGCGTCCAGGCGGGTTTTGAATGTCTGCAGAGAAGGAGACTCCACAACCTCTCTGGGCAGCCTGTTCCAGTGCTCTGTCACCCTCACTGAGAAGAAGTTTCTTCTCAAATTTAAGTGGAACCTCCTGTGTTCCAGCTTGTGCCCATTACCTCTTGTCCTATCATTGTTTGTCACCGAGAAGAGCCTGGCTCCATCCTCGTGACACTCACCCTTTAAATATTTATAAACATGAATGAGGTCTCCCCTCAGTCTCCTCTTCTGGAAACTAAAGAGACCCAGCTCCCTCAGCCGCTCCTCATAAGGGAGATGCTCCACTCCTTCCCTGCTCACACTTCATCCAAATATTCTGGAAACAAGGGAGCAACATTTAAGTAATGCGAGTACAACATACTGCTTCAGTCTCCTAGAATCAGTCTTTCCTGAATTTACCAATAGTTTTCTTTATCATTGCATTGCACTGCAAATATCTGAGAAAGCATGCTCATTTTAGATTATTTTGTATTTTTAAAATCAGGTGTCAAGACAGTAATTGGATGCATGGTATCACTGCCAATGCAGACCCATAGCTTTAGAACCACAAATGAGCTAGAAGTTCATAAACCCCAAGATGCTGTGTTTATTTTGAAAAGGGCAGTGTCAAAGTTGTAAGAATACAGGTTTTCAGGAGCTTTTAGCGAAATGACTAACATGACTTTAGATCTGGACAGCTAACTCCAATACAGACTTCAGATCTACAGTAACTTTAAATATAATTTGAACATGTAGGTAGATTAAATTATAGATAATACAGATCAACACAGCACTTTCCACATCTAAAAAAACCATTTTTTAAAGTGGATTGACACAGAATAGAGAACAAGCTGATGCTGCCTCACCGAGGATAAAAATATTTTGTTTACATCTGACTTCAACTGAAAAGAAAACTATCACCTGCACATGCCTGCCTCACTGCAAGATTTACTACAAGAACGTACAAAATACCTAGATCCTCACACTTCAGAAAACAAACCACATCACTCATCTGGAGCAAAAAGACCTTTAAGTTTGTGGATAGAAAAGAACATACAGAAGCATATGACAACGTGGCACCTTCTTTGAAGACACTGGTACTAGTCACTGTCAGACACGCACACTCACTCACACTGACAACTACTGCAACATGGTATGACAAGTCCTACGAAAAAGGCAATCGTCTTTAACATTCAACTTGTAAATTAGTGAGAAATTAATTACAATTGAGAAGTTCTTAACGAAGTCAGAGTTCACCATAAAACACATGAATTTTAAAAATTTGTATTACTATGTGCACACAAATTATGCAGTGCTATTACATTTACTGTAACTGCAAAGAGAGAAATCAATTATTTCCTAGATTTTGCAGATGAAATATTAATGACTCTAATGGTACTTCAACACTGGACATTAAATATCAAATTTGACCTAAAGATTAAAACATCCAGGAAAGTATTGAGACCAGTGCCCACAAATGTGACTACAGTTCAGCGAAAGTCAGTCAGACCTGAGCAATCATAACAGTAACAGAGTTTAACCATACTTAGAAGGCAAGAAAAAATGAGGAAATTATCTTCTACCATTTCACACCATTTTATATTATCACTGAACTGTATATGTATAATACCTCTTCTTCAATTGTTCCAGAACCAAAGTAAGGGTTTGGGGCTCATTTACAAAAAGACTTAAAAATGCTATTTTAAATCAACCAATTTAGTTAAGCTAAAAAAAAAATTAAAAAAAAATCTTAACTGAATTCAGGCTGTCAACTTGACTAAATTTCATCTCCCAAGGTATCCCAAAATATCATTATAAACCAGTAATTTGTACTTTATTAAATATTCTGTTACTGTTACAAAGAAGTTCCAATAATTTTCTTCATAAAATTGTAATCTGTTAGGGAAGTCCATTCCAGTTCCCTAGTCATAATCTGAAAACAAACAAAAAGTTTCACCTTCATATATGCTGAGATTTATTTACAGTATCAACTACAAAAGATGAATAAGGTGTGACAATTTTGCACTAAATGTTAGTTTTGGCTTATTACACAATCAGAAGCAGTTACCTTTGAGAAGTCCAGAATTGTCGATAGGACCAGGGTACACATTCTGATCTCCCATCTGGTATTTGTCCCAGCTGTCAAAACCAACATATTTTTTCCACTGTTTGAACCAGCGACTATCCACTAGATACCTTAAATGAAAGAAGACATACAAGTTAATTATTGGCATACTACTACTTCCTACAGTATCAATTAATTCATGTTAACACACTTGTATTCATCAACCTTGTAAAATGGAGAATGTTTTTCTGTCTGGTTTGCTAATTATTATCAGCATCTCCTACCAACAAGGCCTTTATTGAGCGCAATTAAAGATCCCACTAATCACAGTCGGCAAGTACAGTTTTGCAAGACTGCCAACAGAGCACATCAGAAGTTGAAGAATGGGAAGTTAAAAAAAAAAAATTTGTCTTCTTAGCATGACATATCATCAGCTTTAATTCCTGTTCTCAATTCGTGAATTCAGGAGATTCAAGCTGAACCTCTGTAATTAGAGAGCCCTTTAAAAAATGAGAGATAACTCCTAGTAAAATATTTTTTCTGGCTGGAGTTCTATTTATAACATTCAGATGCAAGTTGAAAAACTTCAGAACTCTGATGTCCTGTCAAGAACCAGTGAGTGTTCTCCTCCTTTGAGTCAGCAACAGCATATACAGTAAATGTTCTCTTTTGAGGCAGTACTAGATATTCCTCCTATATATAATTAACAACTCCACACTTCCATATAGGGGGATCTCTCTAAACTCAGCTTCACAGTATTTCTGCCCAGATTAAACTGTTGCCAGTCTGGCTTTCATGAAGCCCAGTGATACCTACATTTAGTATCTTTTTGTGCAGAATTTCTTTAAGATTAAGACACCAAGTTTGTTCAACAACCCTCAGATCTTATTTTACTTTTTTTTGCTACTACCCTAGTACATGTCAGAATATCACTATCATGATGAAATGCTAGGTCAAACTAAAGAGAATTGGTAATCCTCATTCTTTTCTCCAGTATTTGACTACTGAACACTTATTTGTAACATACCAGAAATACGTTATTGAACCTTTAAGTGATCTCAAAACTTCCTGGTGAATCAAATACTAGTTTGCTAATACACGTAGCTTTATCAGGCAATCGTTCTGTAGGAGTTACTCATGAACACCATGGAAAAACAGAGAACAAAAACATTAACACCCACAACTCCTGTAACCAAAGAAATACAAAACCACTGCATTTTACTGACTAGGTTTAAAAAAATACATTAGCAGGTCCTTAAAATTTGTGCTTCTAAATGATGTATCTACAATAAGAATTAACAAGCCTAAGATATGTAAGTCTTCACTAATTTCCTCTTTTCAAGTCCAGTTTTTTCTCTCTAGCACACATGGACCAAGCCTGGAGTCAGCACTGCTACTAAACGTCTCGTAAAGAAGGAATTACTACTGAGTAGTACTCAGTAAGGAGGGTCCTTTGTAGTCAACTGATCAGATTCTCTTCTCAGTAAGTCCCAATTTTTCAGTTTCTACAGAATGTACTCTTAAATGTGAGAATCTACAGCTAAAAGTTCTTTGGAGAGTAAGATGAAGAAGGTATTACAAAGCTATACATGAGATCACCACAGGCTTTTGGATGCTTACTTCACCCCTGTGTTCCTTCAAAAACACCAAAGACTAAGGTCTCAAAGGCAACTTTACAACACCTGTGACAACAGCATCCTAATTCACATGGTAAACAGTCTTGACTCAAAATAGGATTACACCAATAGCAACAATGAGTCTGTGCATAAACTACTCCTAGCTTTAGCTTGTAACTGCCCTAAGCAAACAACATAAACACAAAAGGCAGAGCTGTCTCTCAACTGCTATAGGCACAGTTCTGTCAGTGTAAGAACTTTGGTTAAGGATCAAATTTATCCCTTACTGCACCAATGCCAGTCGTACTCTGGAGCATGTACCTTGATCACTTCACAGTGTAACACTTGGTCTGGTATCTATCCTACTATCATAACCTGTTACTACTGCTCAAGAGTTACCAATACTACAAGTTGCTCTCCTGAAACTGTTCAGCACACAACTTTGTCCTTGAACTTGCAACACACAATTCCTTTCAGAAACTTTAAACGCTTAAGAGAGCTGTCAGAAGACAGCTTCAAACTGCTTTCTGAACCAAAATTATGTATTTTTAAAAATGTAGTTTTAAATACTACTAAGAAAATGTATATGAAAAGTATTTTGCTGCAAAAGTGTCCTTTTCCACTCTTAAACTCAAACAGTGACTTATCAGGGTGTTTTGGGCACAACGCATCCCACCAAATAGGTAATGAAATGGCGTGGTTGAAATCCTATTCCAGAATGATGAAATACTTAACATCATTATGATTTTACAATATTGAATCATTCTAAAGTAGCCTGCCCCAGTACTGTAATTATTTCAGTTTTGTGGTGGAATTCACTTGATATGTTTTGCTTTGATCAGAGAATGTTTAGAATGTAATAGGAAACAAGATTGGACAAGGCTAAGCTGCATTAAAGATTGTGAAATTTGGGATAAAATACAGCAAAAAGATAAAAATGCAAACTATTACAAAAATAAACAGATGTAAACTTTGTTAACACTGTAAAAATGTAAAACTTATGTTGTCCATATCTGAATAAGGTCCAGTCCCACACACACTTCCCACTTCAAAAATCAAACTCATTCAGTAAGAATACACTGATTTCTTGATCACTTTCCACTGTCTTTACTGTTAGTGAAGTTATAAGCAGTACCTAACACAGCAATGAGCTTCCCAAAATAGTTCAGTTCTCCTAACACAGGAGCAGACTTAATGATCACTGCAGCAAAAACTGTGAAGCAATAAACCTCAGTCTGTTGTGAAATTAAGTGAGAAACAACTTCAACTATCAAAAATTACCAGCTTGTGCTAACAGGCATGTAATGTGACTGTTCACATGTAATTTAAAATTCGGTACGATAATCTGTTTAAAACAAGCATTCCATTAGGAAAAAAGAGAAGAATGACAATTCTTTGTAATTATCAGATGAAAGCAGAGATATAAACAGTAAAACTTGAAAAGTTCCCTCAGAACACCATGTTTGCCATCATTCAATGGACAGAGGAAGTGAAGCAACATCTTAATAGCTCCCCAGTATGTTTAAAATATCTGGTATGTTTGTTACTAGAAGCTTTCAATTCTGTTTTTACTATCATAAAGTCCTCCTAAGTAATACTGCAATAGAAGTAAAAAAAACCCAACAAATTAAATTTAAATTTCACAGACATAACACGTGCTTCCTTTTCTACAATCAATAGTCAGATGCAAATGTCTTCAGATATGAACCAGTTAATGAAGGCACGGATGCTTTTGGAGGTACAGACTCAACAGTGAATGCAGAAAGGTTTTTAAGTGTCTCCTCCGAAAGATTCTCTATCGAGTCCATGCCCAAGGTATGTCACATCCATCTACTACCCAGAAATGGGAGGGGGGAAGAGAATACAGCAGACAGAAGCCTGCAATAGGCAATTAAGCCCATTTAACTTAAAAGATCACAAGTAAGAATGTAAGAATTCAGCAGACAGCACAAAGATAGTCCACTGCAAAATTAAGAAAGCAAAATTGGATCTCTACAATTGTTTCACCAAACAATAACTAACTGTTGCAATTAAATTAGTGTTATCTACCATGTCCCGCAAGAGAACAACAGACACTAGACTCTACCATGGAAGTCTGAATTGGTATGACCATATTAAATGGAGTGACTTTATTCTACACAGTGCATATATAATTGAATATAGAGTCTGATATTAAAGATAATTTTTCCTTTACCCTGAGACTGCCATAACAAGCCTGACGTTACTATAACTGAATCATTAGGTTTTTTTCTCAAGTATAAGTAGCAGCAGCTCTTCCCACATTTGCAAAAGTCCAGTTCTTTCACTCTGCCCATACAAATCCAAATTCCTCTTCCAAAAGCCTCTTAATATTTGACTCATTTTTCTTAAATAAACAGAATAAAGGATATAAGATTTGATTATTCTGACATGCCCTCACCTTTTGCTTTATACACAAAGTTTTCATCTTGTGAGCATACTCAAGGCCAACAGCATTCTCACCTTTCTCTTCTGCTGTGGCCATCCAGCACTGTTCAGTAACAGCCACAATTGAATGCAGTTATGAATGCAGTCACCCTCAGGCATCCATTCTGTCACCAAACCTGCCAGTCTTGTCCCCTATTCTATCCCATGGCCTCTACTTTCTTGATCTAAATTTAAAAGAATTATGAATCTTAAAGAAGGAAAGCTATAATTTTACACAGAAGGGAAATCATAATATATGCAAACTGTCCACTGTATTAATTAATGCTTAAGAAATTACTGCTCCAGTAGAACCATATCACTTTTCAAATGCTTTGTGTTTAAATGTCTGATCATACACCCCTACCATACTGATTAATAGAAAATTTTGACACCTGGACTTAACAGTAACAAGAAAGCTTGTGGTCCACTGTTCCTAGATTTTAAATTTTCACCATTACCTATTTCAGTACTTCAACCTTATTATTACACATCCAATCAATTTTGCCACCAACCAAATTTTGCTCTCCAATGTTTCTTTACAGCTCTCCCTAACTGAAAAAGTTGTAACATTTCTGTTTCCTAACACAAAGTGCAAGAACATACATAACTTCTCTTCAAATTTAGGAATTTGTACTTACACATTCAAATAAGACATAAAAATTTCTAGCATAAAAAGCTGAAAGGTCTACCTATAAATCATGCAAGTGGTAAGAACTGAACAGCATGGTCACATTGCTTCACTGGAAGGAAAATACTGAAGGACAACCAAATCTTAAAAAAATCCACATAAAGCCTGAGATTCTCTGAGCAAAGTCTGTCCAGTAATACAATGGAAAAAAGCAAAATGAAGAAGGTATGAACACCAAAAAATTGAAGGCTACTCAAATTACTTTGTCTTTTTATCTTCTTCTTTCCTGTTTTCTTACTTGAATTCACTGGGGAGTACTTTGTTAAGACTGCTGTATTTTGAACATACGGATAAAGCTGCAAGGAACAATTAAAAAAGGCAGCTAAATGGGTGCGGAACACTATTCAAGTCTCAAGATCTCTTACAGACCACATCATACTCTAATAACCAAACCCGAAACAAAAATATTATGGATTTGATACAGTACTATACATCTTACCAGAGCCTCATGAACTACTTGCAGACTGCAGATTATAGCTTAGGAAGTACAACTTTACTCACTATCCCAATATTCAGCTCTTAACATCCTTTATAAACAAAGAAAAGCAGGACACTTATGCAAGTCTACTAAAAAATTCATTTTCTATTTAGAGAGAACTACTTTTAATTGGCTCAGGATCTACCAAGTAACAGATACATTACACGTAAAAGAAGGATTTAGTGAATTTATATAGCCAAGAAAAAAAAATTTAGAGATACATATTTTGAAAAATGCTAACAGACACTACAGTTGTGAATTCTTACAGTGAGTTACTGGCTATGTGTATGAATGTGCATATATATGCACATGTATATATATGTTTTATACAGCAGTTATAATCTTTCCCCTCTACAAGAACTTGTTATTAATCAATACATGAACTACTGTTTTTCCAGTAAGATTTGGGAAAATGGAAATTTGCATTCCAATGCCATACACTTTCCTTACCTTCATGCCAGAAGGATATACCATGTTAAAGATTATGCTAAGAAAAAAAAAAGGCAATTACACCATGCTCAGCTTAGAGGACGCATCTGCTAAAGCACTTAGATAGCTAAGATCCAGACTACTTAGTATTGAGGGAAAAAGTAAAAATCAGAAATTTATAGACTATAGCTTTAGATCCTATAAACACATCCAGTACAGCATTCTCACCATGATCAACAACACTACTCATCTACAAAAAACAGAGAAAACAAACTCTAAGAAGACAATCTATTTTTTTATCAATGTTATAATATCCATGATGCAAACAACCACTTGAAAACTAAGTATTATCTAAGAGAGTCATTCAGTAATTTAAGAGGAAAAGACATACCTCAAGTAAACAGAACTACAACTGCTAAAACCTCATTTCTTAAATAAGATTTGATCACTTTTTAGGAGAAATTAAAAACTTATACTATACACTTGAGACCAGAGACACTTCACTGATTATGTGTTGTCCCAGATACAAAAATAGCACACCATGCATTAATAAAACAGAGACATAAAATGTCTGTACATTAAACCTGTTACAATGTTTTGCCTTTATTTTTGTTATTATTACCCAACACAGGAAACAATTCCAAACCAGTCTAAAGTTACAGTAGTTTTTTGAACTGTGGACCTGACCTGAAAAAGCTACCCTAGGAACACCTTAGCAAAGTTAAAATCATGGCCTATCCATTTTTTAAAACTATGATTAAGAAACGATAGCTACTTAACTCTGATGGAATCAAGATTTCACTCAGGCAGGAAAAACAAACTTTGCTCTCTTGGATGTGATCAGCCAAGCTAGTGAGCAGGACAACCAACTCATACTCAGGGGAAAAACACACCTGGAGAATTCATAGCAGAAACTGACTGAGAGAACCATCTCGAATTTCTAGAGATGCTGTTTTGAGGGGCAAATCTTAAAAACTAAGACAACTTCACAACAAGGTGAACTGGTTAACATCAGTAAATGCTTCACATTTACAGGTATTTCAAATAAAACAGTCACCTCAAATTGCTTGATGAAATCAGTAAAACCAAGTTCGATTATACTAAAGTTACTTAGAGTCAACAAGTTGATAACAGAAATACGTAAATACTAGAATAGCTCCAAACCTTTACCTAAAAGTAAGCAAAAATTTGCATGCTGAAATTACGCTCAAATATGACATTTTAGGTATTAATATTGGAAAGACTTAATGTCCTTGAAAAGCAGTAACTGTTGGTCATATCTAGCTCATCCCATAAAGAACCTATTTTCCAATACTGTATTTCTATTTTGGCATAACTTTTTAAAAGTAATTCTTTTGTTTGAAAGATTTCTTGGCAAGTATTGACAATTACAAAGCACAACGTTTAACATTTCAACCTGCTTTTCTCTTCCTGCTTTCCTATACTCAGGATGTTTTCAAAGCACAGATTACTTCTGACATTAAGCCAGTTTTAGTTAATATTATTTTCCTGTAAAAGAATGTATTCCTCAAAGCTATATAAAACCATGATCTTTTACTTTATTCTCACAGTTGGAGGCAAAGGTTTGTTCAGAAAAATGGTAAACCAACACTGAAAAGTTAGTCATAGGTATTTTAAACTTGCTTTAGATGAAGACAAACAGACTAGATCTATCTTTACGATGAGTTTGGATCAGTTATCCCAACTTCATATAGCCGATATAGAGAACAACACTGAGAAAACAGCTCACTGCAGGTGTTGTTACTTTGGGTCCCATTGAAGTGGAAAGAAATGCTGATTATTTCTGGCATTTACAAAGGGCTGCCCATTTCTGTGAATAGGGGCCATTAGTCTGGTTCCTGGTTGTGTTCTCATCAAGTACTGGACTTAAGAGTTTCTCCAATATCATCAATGAACTACAGAGTACTTATTTATAATAAAATTAATATAATAATAATTTGCCAATATAGACACAGTCGCATCAAATATTTCAGTTCTTTTACTCCTATACAAAAATACTCAAATATTAAAACACAATTGTTAATTGACAGCCATGCATTATAACCAAATATATGTTCATATTGGATCAGTCAATTAAAATTAGCAAAACAATACTGTATCCTTATGAATGGTCAAGTGTAGAGACACTTTGGGGAGCCCAAAATAGGATTACAGCCTTTGTACAGTAACTTACAAGAACTTTCAAGTGTTCTGAATGCAATCCTCTGTTACAAACATGCAACCTAGATTTATCTAACTGATAGATCAGTCCTTTGACTTCAAAATCAAACTTGTTAACTTTAATATAAAATAAAGACACTCCACAGAGAGACACTCGTTCCATCACTGCGTACTGCTGGGATATCGTATCTTCTGAACACAAGTTATTTCACTTTTAACAGCAAAACTGTGCAAATTGTCCAGAGACAGGTGAGGATTTTTTTTTTTTTACCCTCCTCACTCTGCACAAGTACAGATTAAGCAATACTGAGGACAAACTGGAACAACTGTGATACTGAAAGCAAATTAGGACTCCTGTTTAAAGGCACAGTGTCCAGTTTTTGTTCTTGCACAACTGAAACTATAAAAATAAGAAAGGTAAGAACGAGTTTGTAACTGTATTTCTACTCTCATTAGGCTAGCCAAAATTGCTCGACGAAGTACGGTCATGATTAATTGATGTCTTCAAAATTAAATTTTCTTTCAGAACTAGAAAGTTCTTGAAAGTTCAAGATTATGATAATTATTCTACTCTATAAAATACAAACCAAATCATCATTTTATTCAAAGTGTAGGTAAATCCACAAGAAAAAAATCCAGTGGTCAGAGAGAAAAAAAAATATTCCTTATCTCCCATTTTTGAGAAATCTTAGTCTAAATATTTCATATCCTTCTTCAGAAATAGAAGCTTTGTTCAACTAAATGCACCAAGATAATTTCAAATCAACTAATCATTACATTAAATTATCACTACTGCTCCCCATGCTCAGTTCCCACAATGTGCTGCAATAGCCTAAGCAGCACTTCACATGTACCACCAAAAGCCTGACTAAAAAGCCCAATTCAACCAAAATAGGCTTCTTTTTTTAATATCAATTTCAGTGTGAAAATTACTTTACAACCATGTAAGTATTTTAAATACTAACAAATACTTACAAATTTTCCCTTTAAGTAAAGACTTTCCGCCAAAAAACAATCCAACTCCTAAATCAGTGTTTGACTTCCAACTTTCAGGCAAAAGCCTGACACGAACACGGTTTTGAGTTTAACATGCTCTACCCTGCCTAATCATTTAACAGGAGAAAACTGCATGGACACACTTCCATTGCAAGTATTCTCCCAGAAGAATTTAAACCAGAACATTCTGTGCACCTTCATAAGCTTTTGGTGAAATGCTGCACCATACTACATGCAGGAAGACAAATCCAACACAAAACTTCAACCACAAGGTTTTAAAGTAAAAAATCAGCTACTTAAACCTTATTTGAAAGAAAAAACAGCCAATTCTCAATTCTGTCCTTGGAACACTGACGTAGTGTTCCTTGTTTCTCATTATATGAAGCCATCAGAACAGTTTAGGACATTATTCCAAATGTTACTGAGGTGCAGGTCCATAACATCTCATCGTGCTCAGTGAAAACAAGTAAAGTCTTCCATTAATGTTCATTCTAGATTCTGTTCACGTACAGCACAATGATGGATGATCAAAAGTGTAAAACACTGAGAAGACCACAGTGTAAAATGCTATTAAAGCTAAGCACTTACGCATCAAGGTTATCAACAATGACGGGCACCGCAGGGTTTGCAAGCATGGCTATATACATCTGTTCATCAAGATTCATGAGTTTTCACTGTAACCAGAATTAAAATACTTATACATTTTTGGTGTGAAAATTCTTTAAATACCCTTTTGGAGGGGAAATCCTTTAAGGCTGAACTTCTCATATCTACTGATGATTCATTTTACCCCATTTTATTCTTTTCAGTGACTGAGCTTCTCTTAAGTGACCGAGTTTTACAATTAAAGAGCCAATACAATTCTCACAGTGAAAAAAACAGTATTTTCTTCACCTTCCAAGAAATGTACTCTATGGATAACAACAGTACCCTCTCTGAATTCACCACAGTTTCAGAAGTGATGTGTAACAAAGACATATCTGAAAGAACACACAATACTACTGTAATTTTTATAATTTGCAAGTCTTAAAAATTGAGAACAGATAAAGCATCTATTTCATCAGTCTGTAAAGTGATGACTGGCACCAAAATTCATTGGTTAGCAGGGCTGGAAATCAACATCTTCCTTCTAGTCTCATCCTGACTAGCTTCAGTTTAGAGGTAGTGTCTCAAAGCTTTATGTGCTCATCTGAAAATCCTTATCCTAGAAGACATTGTCTTCTTACATAAGTATTTCAGCACAGGACTCAACATTCTAGCAAAACAGACAAAGGTTCTTAAAGCTTTTCTCTGAAAGGCAAGGCTTCCACCTTCTCTGTTAAATGTTGATTTGAACTTACTCCAAATGAACACCTTCTGTGACATGCAGACACTGGAACTGGACAGTATTAATGATTTCACTAACACACTGTGATTTCACTAACACTAATAGTGTACACAACATGTCTTTATACTGATACTCAGTATTCCCTACTCAAACATCTAAAGATTGCATTTGTTCCCTTAGCCACCAAATAAACATCTCATGATAGTTATTTGTCCACTGTAACAGCCTTATTCTCTTCCAAGTTACTGCTTTTAAAAAAACAAATCACATCTATATTCATCCCACAGATGCACTGTGGGAAAATTCTGTGAGAAAACAGAAAAATTGGTGAAACTGACTGCAAAGGCTGTGCTGTCAGCCATTATTAGAGGCTATCACCCACTATGAGTGATCCATCTATTGACAGGTGATACTTAGAGGTGAGAAAAGCAGTCTCACGTTCTAGACCATGGGTGGTCAATGTGCGTAAGAGGTAGCAAAGGATAATGTCATAGTTAAGTAACTGAGACAATATCTCTGTCACAGAAGAACAGGAACTACATGGAAAACAGTTCTGAAAGTGGTACTAAAGGTAAAAGCAAGAAATTATACCTCAATATGGGGAAGAAATTACAGAGATATTCACAGAAGTCCACAGAAGAACAGACGGAGTCTTCAAAATCTCTTTAAGAAAACTGTTGCAAGATCAGTAAACTTTCAATATTGAAAACTGTACCTCAGTGACGCTGTAAAACCAGAAAAACTTGGCAAGGTTCTCATGAGTATCAATGCAGCTACAAAGGCATTAAATGACATCATCAAGACCAGTTGGTCATGCAAATTATACAGTGGCTAAAAAACTGATGAGCATCAACAGCTCTTCAATTTCTGAGTAGATACAGGAAGACATTGAGTTCAAATTTGTCTGCACTTGTAACAACCAATTTTTTTTCTTTCTAAATGAGAGGTTAAAATCTCCACAAACAGTAAAAATTCTCACTTGTCAAGCATAAGGAGAATTTCAAAACACTGAGAAGTAATCATGTGAGATATACAGTGAAATACAGCATTTCTTCTCTTCCAAAAGAGAATTCTAGGTCTTTCAACCACAGAACCTGAAGGTCCTTTGTATAAAATGGCAACATGGCATTAATGCTGAATTCACTGATATAAGTAGTCAATATTATCTAAAACAACTGATAAACAAAGGAGGTTCTTGCTTGGAAAAAGCTTAAATCTGATGTTTATTTAATGCAAATGGAAAGATGGACCAACTCTCAATCCTTCCTAGTTTAATAATTTAATTTATTAACTGCCTACAAAAGAATGAAAAAAAAAACCCATTGGGACAAACCAGCCCAGAATCCTGTCCCTGAGGACCAAATGGTCAAAAAACACTAGCCTTGCCCATTCGCTCAATCAATATAGTTGAAGCTATACTATCCTCAAGCTACTCTTAAAAACATCCAATGAAACAAATTCTGCAGTTTACTAAACTTCCTGTTCAAATGATTCCTATGAATTCTTTCCCAATGTCTAACTAAAAATGTTGCATTTCAACTCAGTTTCATTTCTTCTCTCTGCAGTGCACAAGAACTAATGAAGAAATTCAATGCTCTCTTTATAGATACTACATGATTTGCCTATCTTTGCCCTATTATTTAGTTTCCTTTTGCTTAGAGGAAACCCCCAAAGCGTTATACTTTCCTTATATAGCTTATTGTTCTCTACACTCTAAACTCTGAAGAGCACGGACTAGACTTTCAGTATGAGCCAATAATTTTAAAAGGACTACATTTTAGTGCTTCAAAGCTCAAACAGAACAAGCCGATATAGCATTGCTCAGAGTTTTCAGGCAGTATTTACTACCGAATGAATGAAAACCACAATTCTGAATCATGACTTAGAGCACTTTAACTGTTCTGCTTCCTTACTGATGCTCCAAAAGCTAAAAAAGCTATTGACAAAATACCTCTGAAAAAAGCTTCTGGACTAAACATACCCCTTAATTTGTGAAGTTAAATACACAGCTGTAAGTATTAATCCTATGAATGCACATGCACATAAATTTATGTAGCTAGACTTAACAGTTCATGAGTCAAAGTTAACAGGACTTCACTGTAGCTTACTCAGTCTTAAAATACTCGATTAATATCAGTGTCACAATCACAGATAAATACATTAATTTTCAAAGAATGTTTAGAAGCTTGCTCCACTTAGCTGATTTTTTTCATGTTAAAATATTTAACATACTTCAAAAAAATACAGCAAACACTGTTTTAGTCATCATGTGAACCTGTCATAAAGTTACTTTCACTTTGAATAATATTAACTGTTTGAGACATATTTTAGTACTCGGAAAGTACCCTACAGAACAAGAAAAAAACAAAACCATTTCTTAGACAATTACAAGCCTGAGCACCCTTTTACTACTGCTGGCCATTTTCAACAGTGCCATGGGAAGTGATTTCCTTTTTACAGATGCTTATGCTTTTTCAGTTTAAGAGCAGTCTGTTCGTATGCCAGAACTGAACATATACTCAGCAGTATTTGAATAATGCATCAGAATGTATGCTTCTGACACATGCTGCAGTATCAACACTGTTAAATATAGTCTTTTATAGAACTGGAACAGTGAGTGATGACAGCTGAAATGAGGTGGGCAAGTTCTACTTTTGTGTATTCATACTTAATTTTCAGTAAGTTAGTGCTTCTGCCTTTGTCTTTGGGTGACAGTTTCACACAGGAAGAGATGAAGAGGTTGAGTGGTAGAAAAAGTGTCAGTTCCTCCCCCCCACCCAAAAAAAAAAAAAAAGAAAGTCCTGTTTTCTAGCCTCAGAGAGCTACAACTACAGACACTCAATTACCAAAAACACACTAGAAAGAGTTGTTTAACTTAATTCTTTTCAACTATTCTGTTGACAATCTGTATAGCATACTAAAAATATTTTCTGACTGCCCAGGAAAATACATCTTTTAAACGGTTACTGTGGAACAGGCATCATAATGGCCCGTTTGCACCTTCAGGGACTATTCCTTAGGCAGTTAACACATTCACCGTCAAACTAAAACTTAAATCTAGGGCTTATGGCAGCCACGAATGTGCTTCAGAGTGCATCCTGGGCAAAGATATAATTTCTGACAACTTGAGGGTGACGCCAGAGCCATTTCCTCCCTTCAGCCTGGATAATGGAAGAAACGCCTGGTAGCGGAGCTCCTCTCCCCAGCCTCAATTCCTGCTTCACCACCTCTTCTCGCCACGCCAAACAAGCCCCCCGCGGCCTCCGGGCCCCCAGTTGGACGGGGCTGCCATCCGGCACCGCGCCCCGCCAGTCACGCCGCTCCCTCCCCTC